TTACAGAACAATCGTTTTTAGAAAAAGGATTGTTTCTCAAACTTCTTGAAGCATCAACTTAGAAACCCTGACCTGTTGCTAAAGCTTAAAATAAATATACTTAGAGGTTAAGTGCCTCAAAATTTTATTCCTTATTTTAATAAATATTTCTTAAACATTTTTTCAGCTGCTCCCTTCAAGAGGGCAGTTCTTTCATGACGTTTTTGTTTTTTATCCTAATGCAATAATTCAGGTAAAGAAATCTTGTCAAAAATCAAACTTTGAAACACGGAGAAAAAAAAGGTAGAAAGGAGAAAACCTTGGTGTCCACAGTTGTCAAAGAGCCTTCCTGCCATCAGCAGAAGAAACAAATGTAAAATCTGCCACAARGTTTCAGAGCTCATGATGGTTCAGACCAGCAGGTGGCAGAGGACGTCTTTCTGTTCCAAACAAATGAATAAAACAGAAAACTGGAACAACTCAAGTTACTGATCAGCATCTTTCAGTTTATTTAGCTTTTCTGTGTCTGAACTTCAGTCTCCAGCTGGTTCAGACTCTTCTTGCTGAACAAGAATCTCAGGTTCAGTCTGTGAGCCTGAAGAGACTTCAACAAGATGACAGCCTGTTATTCTGCTCATTCAACACCCTGTTAAATTCATGAGAAAATACAAGAAAACTTACAAAATACATGAGATTCAATGGAAAACAAAACATTCATTTCATCCCAAAAGTCACCCAGTGTAAAAACTAAAGATTTCAGCTATAAAATAAAGGCCCAAAAACAAGTTTCCTCTTTCTGCCTCGGAGCTCTGCTCCAAATCCAAACATGCAGAACCCATAAAACATCACGGTCCTCCGGTCGGCAGTGGTTCTGTAACGTCTTCCTCACTTTTAAAGGGGAATTCTGTCATTTTTCACTGAATTGTCTGCCAGCACCTCACAGATGCAGAAGCAGAAATAAATAAAAGGTTTGATGGGAGGAGTGTGTCGAGGAGGAGGAGGAGCCCGCTGTCAGTACAGATGCTGCTGGTGGGGTCAGACCAGACTCCGCAGGGGGAAGGACAGAGCGGCCCCGATGGACAGACCCAGAGACAGGAAGAAGGTCATCAGGGCTCCCGCGGTCTCTGCATCTTTAGGGTCCACCATCCTGAGGACAGAACCGTCACATTAAGATTTACAGCTTTTCCTATAAAACCTACAACCAACCTTTACACCTGGGATGTCCAAAGTGTGGCCCGGGGGCCATTTGTGGCCCCTGACTTCAGTTTTAGAATTACACTAYTTTGTTTACAAATTTGTCCCCCCGGCACAGGTGRTTGATGGAGCCTTTKTMTWWWWT